GAGATTCTTGCTATAGGGCACATGTGCTCACTGAAGAGACAGAGAGAGACAGAAAGTGAGCAATGACTCCCCCTCCTCCCCAGGAGGGGATGGTCACACTGTAATCCCTTCTCCATTCTCCTCTTGGGATTTTGGGCACACATGCACGCACACACACTTTGAGTGAGTTTTTTTAAGCAGCTGGGTCCGGGACTCAAATTGCAGTTGCCTATGTGGGAGTCCAGCGATGTAACCATTATGCCATCTGCTGGCCCACTAGTACTAGGTTTTTAACCAGGAATATATTTCTGAGACTATTTGTAAGGAAAAATGTTATTTTTCACATATAGCTGTGTAATGCTAAGATATTGAAAGTTTTATACTGAGACATCTTTTCCCCATATATTCTATAAATATTTGAAGGAAGCATGAAAAAAATATGCTGACATTAATTCATACTATATTGCTCTACCTTTTGCTTTTCATCCTTTCAAAGATACATATACAACTTTGGTTGGTATATAAAATATTCTGTGATAGTTTTAAACTATGTTTCACTACTGATGGTGACACTTGGGTAATCTGTTTTTTTTTTTTAGCTGTAATATCTGATTGTGTAGAATTTACAATTCTACTTGTTTATTAAATTGTATTTTCTGCTGAAGAGACCTCCCCTATCCTCAACCTGTACCTCCACTATGTTTCTAGCTTCTCACAAACTGAGAATTTTGTTTCTGTTGCTAGATATTTTACCAGAGTGAGAGATTTACAATTTTTCATTTCAATTTAAAGTTTTCTAACATCTTGCATGGCTGTAGTGTCTGCTATAGGCTGAATCTTTGTGTTCCTCTCAAATTCATATGTTAACATGCTATCAAAACCTTGAGACTAGCAGGTGGTGTGGATATTAACGTGGCTGGATCCCACATGACTGACTGAGCAGTCTAAGTCCCAAACCTGGCAGATTGAAAATCATGCTGGCCTGTGTGCGTGTGTGCCTCCAGTGGAGGAGATGGGATTGCAGTGTGGCCATTTTCCCTGGGAAGTACTATCTCACTCTCTCTCTCTCTCCCCTTTTTCTCTGTTTCTCTCTGGTGAACATACACACTTTATAACAACAACTAATAAAATATAATGCTAACCATCAAAGTGATGGTTTTAGGAGGTGGGGACTTAAAGAAGTGGTAAGATCAGTAGAGTAGGGCCTTAATGAATGAGATCAGTTCCCCAATTAAAGAAGCCCCAGGGAGACCCTTGACCCTTTCTCCATGTACATAAACAGTGAGAAGGTACCATCTTCATAACAAGAAGGGGGCCATCACCAGTCAATTAATCTGCCAGTGCATTGATCTAGTACTTATTAGTCTCCAGAACCATATGAAGTAAATTTCTATGTATGAGCTATGCAGATGGTGAAGAAACAGTTTTAAAAAATAGATTAAGGTACATGGAAAATTATGCAAGTTAAAAAGTGAGCAAGTTTTAACTTTAAGAAAGTCAGATGTGTGTAAGAAAGAAGATTGTTGGGTCAGCTGAGGGCATGGTGTTTAAGGCAGCTGGATCATGCATGGCTGACTGCTCAGTTCGAGTCTCAGTCCTGGAAACTTGAAAAACACACCGGGGACCAGCAGTTAGCACAATGGCTATGTCACTGGACTCCCATGTAGTAGAATGCAGTTCGTGTCCCAGACCTGGTGACTTAAAAACTCACACCAGGTGCATGTGCGTGAGTATCCAAGATCCCAAGAGGAGATTGGAGGACAAGGTATTGTGGCGTGGCCATCCCCCCCGGGGGTGATTTCTCGCTTTCTGTCTCTCTGTCTCTCCCTGTCTGGCAAGCGAACACCGCCCTATGGCAAAAACCTCTCCAAATAAATAAATAAATAAATAAATAAATAAATAAAATAATAAAAGAAAAACACACCAGACATGTGCATGCATGCCTAAGATCCCTAAAGGAGAAATGGAGAAGAAGCTACAGCATAACCCCTTGAAAACATCTTATGGGGAGTCTATGGATGAATCCTTGAAAGCCTTCTGTGGAGGACCCCTCACTAGGGATGCTTTTTCATTTTTTCTCTCTGTTTCTCTTGGATGAGCACGCATGCCCCTAACATTAAAAAATAAAAAAAGAGGGAACCAGCAGTTAGCGTAATGGCTATGTCGCTGGACTCCCACGTAGTCGACCGCGGTTTGTGTCCTGGACCCGGTGGCTTAA